GTTCAGTTTCAGTCCCAATCAATCCAGTTCAGTTGTTTTCAGTAAATCAGAACAACCCCTAAGACTCAGTTATATAGGATATAGGGGACGAAAAAAAAATCCTAAAATTTTCTTTGTTCTCTCTCTTCAAACATAGCCACCATAATAAAACTTAGGGGCTGCCATCGATTTTTATCAATGGTAAGCCCCAAATTCTTCTCTAGTTTAATGGTTTTAGCCAATAAAGAGCACCAACAGTTGGTGATTATAGTTTAGTCAGTTCCTTCCATGTAAGGTTTAGTCAGTTCCCTAATGGTGGGATGTTTAGTATTGTTTGTTTGTTTGTTTTTCGTGTGTGCAAGGATACTAATTTGGAAGATTCGTCTTGCAAATTTGTGAAATTGTGGTCCTGTTGGTATAGGGGTGCAGATTTAGAAGATTTGTCTTGTAAATTTGCAAATCTTGATGACCAATCAAGTTTTATCACTTTTGCAACTATACATCAATGAAGCTATGTCAAGAACGATGCAAAAACATCTAAAATTATCCAAGAGCAGTTCAGAAGCGATGCCATTAGTTTAGGGGTGTTTAATTCTTATATTGAGATTTAGATGATTGTAAGTGCCGAACGACTATTATTATTTAATGAAATCACTTCTACCTATTCCATTCAAAAAAAAAAAAACTTAATGGTAAGCAATTTTTTCTTTTAGCTTAAATTGCCACATCATCATTTCTAGCTATATTATTTCTAGCTAATTTTTACTCCAATCTAATTAATTCAAATGCCGCATAAGCAAAATTGGCGAATGAAATTTTAAAGTTTAAATTAATCAAATACGAAATATAAAATGTTATCTTTTGAAATTATGAATTTTATCCAAATATGAAACAAACAAATTTTATCACATAAATACCAAAAATATTTTGTTTTAAAAATATAAACAAACCGTGCATTGCACGGGCTTCATCTAGTGATAAGCTATTTATTACTCCGATTTAGTTTTTAAACTAGATGAAGCCCGTGTGATGCACGGTTTGTTTGTATTTTTTCAAACAAAATATTTTACTAAATTTATATTTATCTGATAAATTTTGTGATATTCGCTTGTTTACTACTTGAATTTTTTGCTATAAAATGAATTATTAATTTTGTTTTTCATATTTAGATAAAAATTTCTAATATAAAAAGATAATATTTTATTTCACAAAGTTTCATATATGACTGGTCACACCGTGTGGCCGGGATCATTTGGTTAGGGTTACTCGGTTGGTCAAGGTTTACTTAATCGATCAGGGGTTACTCACACGATCAAGGCTACTCGGTCAGTATTTTGGTGTGTCTCAGCCGCCACACGATATGGCCAGCCACACAGTAAACACGTTGATTTTTATTTTTATAATTAATATAAAATTTTAGATCTAAAATAAATTGCAATTCTTTTTTTCATTGGCTAAAATATAACATTTTCCTATGTGACGCTCTGATAAATTTTTATTTATTATTATATTCCTACGTAGCGCTTTAAAAAAAACTAATCTTACGTGGCATAATCCTATTGTAGCGTTTTAAAAATATTAATCCCACGTGGCGTTTATTTTTTTTTATTATAATCCTACGTAGCGCTTTAAAAAAACTAATCTTGTGTGGCATAATCCAATTGTAGCGTTTTTAAAATATTAATCCCACTGGCGCTCTAATAATTTTTTAAAAATTAAAATCCTACGTGGCGCTCTAAAAACTCGGGAAAAAACTCCCCTTTATATATATATATATATATATATATATATATATATATATATATATATATATATATATATGTATACGGGGAGGTTCCGCTAAAAACAGAGCTTATGGTGAAAACTAAAAACAAGCAATCTTAGCCATTCATTACTAGCACAAAAGATCAAACGGTTCTAAAGCCCTAAGATCATTCCAACCTTACATATAATCAATTCAACCGTTTTAAAGGTCTCTCTCTCTCTTTTTTTTTTCCTGACAAACGCAACGTTTTAATGGTCAGTACATGCTAAAATAAGGTAACTTTATCTAAATTGACGATATTTACATAGAGTCACTATATATAAAAATAACGTAACTATATACAAAAATAGGGTAGCTATATCAATTTTTACAATATTTACATTAAGGTCACTATATACAAAAATAGGGTAACTATTTCAATTTTGACCATATTTACACAGAGGTCACTATATACAAAAATAGGGTAACTATAACAATTTTTACAACATTTACATTAAGGTCACTATATACAAAAATAAAGTAACTATGTATTAACTTCGAGTAATTATATCAATTTGACACCGTTTACCCAGAGGTCACTATATATAAAAATAAGGTAACACTATCAAATCAACATTTACACAGAGGTCAGGTTAATATATTAATTTTGACTACATTTTAAAAAGATCACTACATGTAAGCCTATGTAGGATTCGAACCCACATCATGTGCACAATGCAAGTACACAATGCTCGACCAATTGAGCTAATAGACTTTCGGCAAACAAAAACAATAAAGCTAATAACTCATATTATTGCACAAAATTAAGAGTCACTATAACAAAATTAATAAATGCTAAGCTTTGGTTTGTGTCAAAAAAAAAACCCAAGTATTACGAGGATATACATCCAACATAGTAAATCACTAACATACTTAATTATCATATGATAACATCACTATATCCATGAATAATCCATGTGCCAATGCTATTATATGCCGAAAAACCAAGGTTCCTCGCTATGTAAGAGAGGGAAAGAAGATCGACAAGCCAACAATGTAGCAAAAACCACATACAACCTTGCAAACTCAATATGCTATCAATCATCATATGATAATATGTCTAATCCTAAGATTAATCCATTTTTCATCATTACACCAGCAGCTTCCTCGGTTTCAAAAGCAAGATGAGATCAACAAATTAACAATACATTGCAGAACAACAACCAATCAGACCAGTAGACCACATCCTGCACTTCAACACACTCAAATGCTAAAAATCATCAGATGATAACACATTACGCCCATGATTAATCCATTTCCTAGACCGTAAACCAAACTTCCTTGGCCTCAAAAGCGAAATAAGATCGACAAACCAACAATGCCGTGCATTAACACAACAAACACAATGCCACAAATATCACAAATCAATAAATTTGAATCCTAGTGCGACACCAAGCTCTCAACATAAGTACAAATAGAATCTAAATGGCGAATAGCAGTTTTCTCACACTGTTTTAATTGCTGATTCTTGATGTTATAATAAAATGCGTTTCCAGAGTGTACTACAAAAATCATATCAGTGTTCTTAACATGAAGAATCACTACATTACTCTTGTTAGTGCAATCTTTGATAAAATCAGAAGCCTCTAAATTCGAGTCCCCTGAAAACCATATCCTCCACGTCTCCTTTCCTTTACCATCCTTTTCCATAACCCATACACAACTTTTTTTAGAAGAGACACTCAAAATAGCTAATGACTCATCAAGGAGAAACACAATCCTACCAGTCACTTCTCCCCCAGCATCTGGCAACTCAACAAAACTGAATAATGGAGTAAGTACTCTCTTTTGGGATCATAAGTGGGTGGGAAAACCATACTTAAGAAGTCTTGCTTTTGATGTCATTCCACCGGAAATTGAGGGTGCTACGGTGAGTGAGATGTGGGATAGCAATCTTGGTTGGAAGTGGAAACTTTCGCTGACTTGCTTCCTGGTGATACTCTTCAACGGATTGAAGCTTACACTGTTCAACGGGACTCTAGTATAAGGATCTTATATACTAGGGAGGCTCAGCTAAGGGGCGATTTACTATCAAGTCGGCCATGAAGATTATTAAAAAGGATGATGAGGTGATAGATGATGGAAGTTGGGAGCTGGCCTGGAGACTAAGGGTGCCCCAAAGAATAAGGGTGTTCATTTGGTTGGTGCTTCATGATCGTGTTATGACTAATGAAAACAAATTTAAAAGGAACCTTACGGATGATCCTAGATGCAAGGTTTGCAATAATCATGATGATACCACTCTTCATCTTCTACGAGATTGTACTATAGCTAGGGACATATGGAAGCAAATCGGAGGCCTTGCTAGCATTAGAAGCTTTCGAGAGGGAAATTTGCAGCAGTGGATTGTTTGCAACATAAAAATTCAAGTAAGGAATGATTACTCCCCTGAGATTTGGCCCACCTACTTTGCTATTGTATGTTGGTGGATTTGGAAGTGGCGGAATAACATTGTATTTGGTAAGAGCCAAGACAATCCAATAAATGTTAATCAGTTTCTACTCGCTAGATTTGAAGAAGCTTGGCGTGTGTTAGGGGATGGGGAAAACACTGATAGCTCCTTATCAGGGGGAAGAAGTGAAAGCTTTGTTAAATGGCTCGGACCTCCTCAAGGTTGGTTAGCTCTAAATACGGATGGGGCTGCAAAGGGCGCACCCGGATCAGCTGGAGGGGGTGAGGTGATTAGAGACTGTACGGGGAAGATGCTATATGCCTTTTCTCTCAAACTTGGGGCATGTAATGCCTTCATGGCCGAAGCTCGTGCTGTAAAGTATGGTTTGGAATTGGCTGCAAGACTCAATCCTCTAAAGTTGCAGGTGCAAATTGATAAACAGGCCTTGGTACGGGCTTTGAATGGTGCAAGCAATTATAGAGGTGAAAGTGTTCATATTGTCAAAAGATGCAAATAGATGCTAGAGGATGCGAAGTGGGAAGTGGAAGTGCATCACATTTATAGAGAAGCGAATAGGGCTGCAGACTGGCTAGCAAATCAAGGTGTTACTCAGAACAACAAGATCGAGTTGATTCCAGTCCCCCCATTACCATTGGACCAAATTTTGTATGATGATGTTGTTGGCGTGGTAATGCCACGTTTAGTTCCACCTTAGTTTTTAATCATTTGGTTTCTTTGGGGCCTAGCCCCTCGTTTGCAAAAAAAAAAAAAAAAAAAAAAAAAAAAAAAAAAAAATTAGCTATTAACTTGATTGAAAATTATAAAAATTGCAAGCTTGTCTAAGTTACGACTTATTTTTGAAAGTAATACAGAGAGGCAGAGGGCGACCGATCCACCGTGGTAGCCAAAACTGTCGCCAGAAATCAGACATTAATCGCCGCCGTCGAAGCGCCATCTGAGAACTCCATGTGATAGCCTCCAACACATTCTTTACAGTAAAATTCTACAGAACAAATTCGATTTGAAGAATTTCAGCAACTTTAATTTTTCTCTCTCCTTTATCAAAAACCATGAAGAAGATCTCTTTCTCTGTATCATCAAATCAATCTTCTTCTAAATCAAACACCAAAACCAAGAATGATTCTGCCCCAAAACCCCAACTTGATCGTGAATCAATCACCGAATTCGATCCTTCTCAAACCCTAACCCTAGAAAAAGGCCCCAGAAAAATCTTGATTCCCCCGAAACAGAACGAATGGCGTCCCGCTAAGAAGATGAAGAATCTCGATTTACCCCCAATTCACTCCGAAGGAAAACCCCTTGAATTTGAAGTTGAAAACGAAGCTGATGTTGCTGCCCCAGAAGCTGATTCGAAGATTTCATATGGGTTGAATCTCCGCCAAGATTCGGTTAATGGTAAGAGTGAATTTGATGTTCCTAATTCAATTGATGCGATTATGCTTAAGAAATTGAGAAATGATTTAGATAAGTTGCCTGAAGATGAGGGTTTTGATCAATTTGAGGAGGTTCCTGTTGAGGGTTTTGGGGAAGCTTTGTTAGCTGGGTATGGGTGGAGACAAGGGATGGGAATTGGGAGAAATGCTAAGGAGGATGTCAAGGTTGTTGAGTATAAACGCCGGACCGCGAAAGAGGGGTTAGGGTTTACTGATGATAATGTGGTTCCTAAGAAAGTTGATGGGAGTGATAATAAGAATAAAGGAAAGTTTGAAGTTGGGAAAGAGGTTAGGATTATTGGTGGTAGGAAGATGGGATATAAGGGTAGAGTTATTGAAGTGTTACCGGGAGGTGATTCGTTGTTTTTGAGGCTTCCGCGTAGTGATGAGGAAGTGAAGGTTCGAGTGGATGAAGTGGCTGAGTTGGGTTCTTTGGAGGAAGATAAGTGTTTGAAGGAATTGAAGGAGTTGAAGATTCAAGGTTCTAAAGAATCTTCGAGGAGCAGCGATAAGAAGGGGAGTAGAGATTCGTCGAGTGAAAGAAAGGAAAGTAAGAGAGGTAGAAATGAGGGTAGGAGAGGTGATGTTGGTGATGTTAAGAGTGAACGCAGGGTGCGGGTGGATGAGAAAAGGACTAGTAGTAGTGGAGTTTCTTGGCTTAGGAGTCATATTAGGGTCAGAATTGTTAGCAAGTCGTTTAAAGGAGGAAGGTTTTACTTGAAGAAGGGTGTGGTAATCGATGCAGTTGGAGCCAGGACCTGTGATATATCGATGGATGATGGTAGGGAGATTGTTCAGGGAGTAGAACAGGAGATATTGGAAACTGCCCTTCCTAGGCGAGGTGGTCCTGTTCTTGTTCTCTTCGGAAAGCACAAGGGTACTTATGGCAGTCTTGTGGAAAAAGATTCCGTGAGGGAAACTGGTGTAGTTCAAGACGCTGATACACATGACCTGATTCATGTGCAGCTTGAACAAATAGCTGAATTCGTTGGAGACCCAAGCGACATTGGTTATTGATTAAGGATGCCATATTGAACTAGTATAACAAGGTGATATACCAGACACATTTTACTTATGGCTTGTAGCTCTGGCTTGTTAAGTTTTATACAAAGCATCTTACACTTGATGTATTTTTTATTGTGAATTGTGATGCTTGATGTAGAAAGCTTGATTTAGAAAATTCAAGTGATTTGTTATAAGATGCTCTTTTTGGTTATTGCATTGTTTAGTACTTTGCTGTAATTGGTCACGCTTCAACTCCAATGAATAATTCTACTGTTCTGTCTGAAACATGTAGATGCATGATTAATATCTGACTCTTGATCTTGAATTGTTTATACTTGTTTAATAATCTTAGAAGTGTATGATTGCATTGATTTTCCCAATGAAACTCATTTGTGGACTTTGATTTGGTGGATTTGGATTTATCGTTATTCTTGTCTCTTCCTTGTGGATGGGGAAGAGTCGTAGACCCTTTATTTTCATAGTGAGCAGTCAGTTTCTGTGTTGTTTGTCTGAAATTGGTCCAAGCTGTATTATTTATTGTTATACATTCACAGGAATATTCTGCAAGGTTGAAGCACATAAAATGTTTTGGAAACTTCTTAACATCCTTTGTTGACTTAGAAAGGCGAGCCAATCACTGAATGGTCTAACAAATTGTTGCACTGAGTCAGATGCCTGTAATTAGCCACCAATATCACCTCCCCTCTCCCCTCCTGAGATCTTCCTCCCTCCTTTCAAGAGTTTCAGTTCCCACCTTTGGCCATGAATGCCTATAGTTGAAACAAAGAATACATAGGCCATCAATTGCTTTTGAGATTTGACTGGCTCAGCAATTGTTCTTTATATATATATATATATATAATTGCTGTAATTGTGCTTTTTCATGCATCATCTTGTGATATCACTTTGCAGCGTTTCTATCCCGAGGTTAACGATTGGTCACTATAGGAGTTTATCACTAATGGGATGTGGTGGCAGCAGTGGAAGTAGAGAGAGTTCCTTGGGCTATTTGTTTGGAAGCATTGAAGCTCTGAAGCCTGCTTCTACTAAAGCTCCAGCCAATGTTATTGCAGAATCAGCTGTGAAAGGAGCAGCAAAGCCTGCTACTGTGAATCCCTAGCTTATTGATGTCCAGAAGGTTCCTGAAAGATTTAATACTAACTGTGAACAGAAATTTGGGGATAGAGTACGTGGATTAGTATTTGGTGTTGTACGGATCTTCACAACCATAGACCCGGCTTGAACAAAGAGGTCTTTGAAGAGTTGCATTTGGAATCCATTTGGAATGGCATGGAGAAATGCCTTGAATTAGGCCTATGTAATGCTATTGGTTTTACAAACTTCAACACCTTCTAGATGCCTTGATCCTGTATGTCCTGATGCTAATCAGGTATTCTTTTTGTTTTCTTACCTTTCCTCAATTTTTCTAATATAATTGCTTTAATTTTAATTGAGAATTTGTCCTTGAATTTGGTGATGTCTTTCTCTGATTAAATTGCCTAATTACCTCTGATTTTTCCTCAGATTGTACTTTATTTTCATAGCAAATGCTCACACACACACACATACAGTGTTCTGCAATTCATTTTCAGACATTTTAGGGCATTAATGTGATAGCATAGTATGAGTTCATGAAATGCATGTATAGTATTGTTTATACGTATGTGGCATGGAAACGGCTTAGGTTTTGCAGACAAATATGTTTTGAAAATAAGAAACCAAGTTTGAGCTATTCCTAGGTTTCATTAGTATGAAAATGATTTGGTTTTAAAAAAAAATGGGGAAACTTCTGGTCTCAACAGTTTTCGTGCTTCCTAAGTTTATGCTATCATGTGTATTATGAAGTTAATGGTTGTTTGTTAGATATGTATATCCTTGTATTTGATGGTGAGTTGGCCATCACTACTGCTGCCAATCTAATATCACTTTCTTATATGTGAATATCAAAGTTATATGCCACCCTTTATGGGCAAACATTGGAAAATATAGAGCATATAGTAGAATCTTTTAACTTTATGATCTTTTTTTGAACTCCCAAGTTTCTTTAGTTGATGTTTAGGATCTAGAATGGTAGGAAGATACTTTGTGCATGTTTGATTGCAAGCCTGCACAGTGATGTCTGCAATCAGGAAATAAATCTGCTTAGCTTGTGAATTTGTATAAAGATGAGGATTTGGGGAAGAAGTAATACCATCTTATTGTGGCTGAGCTTATGGAACCCCTAAGTATGCTATATCTCAAGTCAAATACAGAGTGGGGTATTCTGTGGAGAGTGAAACCAGCAAGAAACACCTTTGCTGCAAGATTAGAGCTGCTGACTCTCTGTTCTACGCTCAATCACCATGTAACTTGTCATTATTCTTCCCTCTTGGTGTTCACTTTCACTTCCATTTGCATATAAAGCTCATTGCTGTCTCTTATTGACGTTCCTAATTCAGTTTCATGCTCATTTTGTCTCACATGATCATAACGATAGTTGCTTTCTTTGCTATGCACCAAGCTAAATCACCAGTGACTATCACCTACCAAAGGGGAAGACCAGCTCAGCAGCATCTTAGTAACTAATTCGCAAGTCATCAGGAGGGAATAATAGCTGTTATATAAATTTGTTATCAGCAAAATTTAGGTGGAAGGAATCCAAAAGTTGTTAGAGAGTTTGTTATGCCTTCAGCATAATAAGGGTAGATTATGAATGTAAGAGATAATTGAGAAATATATTGAAGATTTGTTGGGAGAGAATTCACGCCTCTCGAAAGTAGGAAGGTCTGTTTGGCTACCTTAAGCCATTCAAGGTCTGTTTAGCTACCGTAAACCATTCTTATCTTTTGCTATCTATTTTTGCCTTGTTGATTCCTGTCACCACTCTGAAGCACAACCCTTTTCCTCTCATATGTATGGAAATGTTATAATTTGTGCCTGCTGCATTGCTCTTGCTATCTAATGGAATGTTCTGTTCGATTTGTTGATAGTGGTTTGTTTATTTCAGCAGCTGGAAACGCTTTCTGATCCTTTGGAATCAGGCATAATGAAAATATTGCTTGTCACATGACTGTTAGAGGTGACAAGGCAAGGCAGTTACCCATAAAGTGGTTTGAAGGTCAAGGAATACGAGTCACCGAGAAGAGACTTCACCATATATCTTGGAATCAAGTAAGCTATCTTTTGCCCATTATCATTGTTATGTGGCCATCTGTTGGTGCAGGTAGTCTTGCTGCTGCAATTTTTTATCTAAGCTTATCTGATTGTGTATGTTAATCATTAACTTATAATGCTATCTTTCAAATTTATGACCATGTTGCATATTACTTGAACTTGATAAAGACCCTGAATATATAATTGTGAGGATTGTAAGTTCATTATTTGTATTATGCATAATATTGGTTATACTTCAAACAGCTTTATAGTAGCTATGGCAAGTACAATTAATCCTAGCAGACTTTCTTGGGGTACCGCACCTGTTAGCATGGTGCAACTAGTAATTACAAATTTCCCATGGAACTTACTATCAGTCACTCTTTGAATTAGGATTTATGGAAAAAATAATAATGATAATAATAAATAAATAAATAATTAATTAAAAAAATAATAGTAGTGCGGGTCGTAAAAGCATTTAACATTATACAAAGAATTTTATATCTGAGAGCTTCTCTGTTGTTGAAAAATATTTCCTTGGACCTAAAAAGTTTGGATAATATATCTGGAAAAGATTATGGAACTCTTGTTTGTTAGTATTGTTCATTAGCATAGGAGCATTGGCCTTGTGTTTTTGTGACATTTTAGATTAGCTAGCTTGAAATCTCACACTAGCCTGGAAATGAACCTGCTTATGAAGTAAAGAGTAGTGATCGTAAAGTATTACAGATTATGCCTTGTTACTGAGCTAATCTCTAGTGCTTATACTAGTGATTGTAAAGTATTACCATAACTCTGCTCATTAGATGTGATTGAGAAATCTTGGTTTATTGGGTGCAGGACCAACCCTCAACCAAGTTTCATAATCCCCAAGTGGTGGACGTGCTTTAGGCTATCTATGTTCTGGTTACAACCTCGCCATTTCAAATATAGACATCGAAAAGTTGAGTTAGTACCTCTAAGGATAATGTTTATTCTCTTCCATTGTTGTTGTCCTTGTTGATGCAAAAATTAAATGTGGAGTATGTAGTGTAAGTTGGGGTCTTGGTATTGTGATTTTTAAAAAAAGGTACAGAGTATTGTTGTTATCATTGCAATTTTTTATTTATTTATTTTTTTTATTTTTTTTTATTTATATTTTTATAAGGATTTAGGTTGTGTGACATAATTCTAAAATCGCTATATAATTGAATTCAACTCTTTTTCAATATTTTATAGACCAATCAGTTTACCTGTTCTGGTTCAACACTTTATGACTTCCGAGTTTCCCCCTAATTTCATTCAATTTGGGGAAAAAAAAACTTAAAATTGGTCCGAAAGTGTAGATTAGCCTTCGAGTTTTTTGAGTATTGTAGCCTTGGAAACGAGAAAATACAAGGATCCCACAAGCCGAAAAAAAAATATGAAATCACAATGCAGAAAAAAATAATAATTTTGTCATTTAATTTGGAACGGAGAAAGTAATTTCATAAGAGGTTTACTCATATTTCAAAAAAAAATTAGTACTCTGTTTAATTACATACTGCATATTTTCTTTAAGAAGTTGAATTTCAACTTCACATTTATGCTTAACCGAATTGTGTTGCAATAATGTTACATAATCCTGATCACCACTAACAAAAAATGGCGAGTGAGGGCGAGAAAGAGAAATCCCTTTCGAGCGAGGAGAATGACCTTCTCTAATGAAGCAATAAAAAATGTAAAAAAAGTTTAGGTAAAAATGGAGATATCTTGCTGAATAATGAGAACATGGAGATGGAGACAGATTCTTTTGTCGCGGATTCAATGGCTACAATACCGACTGCGCAGCCTGCGAGATCGTATATGCAAGCCACGAATGGATTTGGTCGAAATGTGAACCCTTTGTATGATGACGGAAAAATGGAAGAGGATCCGGTATCAGATGATGACATCCCCTTGGATTGTGACTCTGATGATGAAGGTTGTCCAACCATCTATCTCTCTAGAGAGGAGAAGAAAAGACTGCGAAGTCCATGGAAGAATGCGCTTATCATCAAATTGTTCAACAGGAGACTAAGCTATGAGGTTCTAGTTAAACGTCTGAAGGCAAAATGGAGTCTTAAAGGTGAGATTGCGCTTACTAATGTTGGACACGCATATTATGTGGTGAGATTTAGCACTGTGGAAGATTATGAATTTGTTTTTTCTGGTGGTCCTTGGATAATTGCGGATAGTTACTTGACAATTAGAAAATAGTGCTTAATTTTGTATCGGATGAAGAGCCAATTAAGAAGCTTAATGCACGGGTGCGTATTCCACAACTATCAGTGGAGTATTTTGACAGACAATTCTTGTACAAAATTGGTTCGAAAATTAGGAAAGTCATCAAGATTGATAGGAATACAGAATCAAAGGATATAGGACAATATGTTCGTTTTTGTATTGAGGTCGATCTAACGAAGCCATTGCTGTCGAAGTTCCGATTAAATGGTCGAGTTTGGCGTATCCAGTATGAAGGCCTTAAAACGGTTTGTTTTAAGTGTGTTTGTCTTGGGCATAAGGATCAAGATTGTAAGACATTCATCCAAGCTGATGGAGTGCAAGATAAAACAGTCCAAGGGGTGTATCCACAGCAGGGGTTGTTCGATAAGAGCCAGGTCCATGGAGAGCGTCCAGAGGAGAAAGATAGGTATGGTTCTTAGATGTTAGTTCAGAAAATCCCAAGAAAGAGTGGTCCTAGGACTAAGACTGATCAACCTAAGAAGCAGGTGATTGTGGAGAAGACAAAGCAGGGTCATGTAATTCAAAAAGGTGAGAAGGAGACTACTAAGGGTACCGTGACTAAACCAAAAGCTAAGGAACAGAGTGGTTCGAGGTCTTAAGAGAGGATGATTTAGACTAGATGAAGAAGTGCTCGATCGTCTACAAGTTCATGACTTAGGGTTAACTCAAGAGGAAGAGATAATGGAAAGACAGTGAATTTAGACGTGAATGATGGAGATTCCATGGAGATGAAGCTTGATAACGATGGCAATGAACAAACAACGGATTTATCGATGGAAATTATTCCCACAGTAGAATTGGGGGAGTCAGTTAAGGAAAAAGATAATTTGGAGAATATTAGGCAAGTTGATATGGATGGAAATAAGGGATTTAATGAAAAGATTTCTTCGGTGGAAATAGATAAGAATTTATCTTTGAATAAATCTTTTTCAAAAAGTTTGGATAAAAATCAAAGGAAATCTCCTAGGACTCTTTTGAGTATCTGAAATAAGGGAAATCCTATCATTAAACCTTTTTCTAAAAAGATAAATTATCGGTGAGTCAAAGAAGAGTGGGAAGTAATAGTGACAAGGAAAATTTTTTTGAGATCGAAATTGCTTCCTCTACCTCTTCAGCTCTACGGTTGAACAGTGTAGAGAATCACGGGAACTCGGAGAATATTGGTGGTGAAGTGCAGCATGAATCCTCTTCAGGTACCAATCACTCTGGAAAGGAAGATCCCCTCGTCTTACGAGGCCTTCATGGACTACCAGATGGAGGGTCCGTCGATGGTAACAGCCCATCCGTTGGTGAACAAAGTGTTGATACACTGGGATACGTTTCTACCCTCGGAGCACAACCCAGCAGCAATGCTGGCATCATTCATGCTCCCATTCGAAACAGCAGGGCCAATGAGAGCACTTCAACAAGCGTTCCTCGACATGATGCCTAACGTTCCTTTGAACGTTTATGACACCTATCCAATCTTTCCAATATTTAATATGTCTTTGAAAATAATGGTGTGGAATGTGCAAGGAGTAGGGAATAAGTTGTCAATAATCAAGGAGTTAATCCGTATTAATGAATCGGTGATTTTGGTTCTTGTCGAGACTCACATGAGTGAAGTGCAAGCTCAAGCTATTTGAAATAAGATTGGTTTTTCTGGTCAATAGAGAGTTGAAGCCCAAGGTTTTAGTGGAGGTATTTGAATGTTCCGGAGAAAAGTAAAAATTGAAGTATCGGTGCTTGATGAACACACTCAACATCTTACCGTCGAAGTGAAGAAAATTGGAGAGGATCGATCCTTGGATTTTTTTCTGCCATTTATGCTAGTCCTGATAGTACGATTCGAAAGGAGTTATGGAGAGAGCTAGAAAGAATAAAGAATTCCTTCTCGGGGCCTTGGATGCTAGCAGGGGATTTTAATGACACTGTGAATATGAAGGAGAGGAATGGAGTTGGAGGTTCAGAGATGCAAAGAAGGTGTAGAGAGTTTTCTATTTGGATTGAAAATAATGCTTTGATCGATCTAGGCTGCTTAGGGCTGGCTCATACTTGGTTTCGGGGTCTTACTCCAGAAACTTTTAAATCAGCAAGATTAGATAGAGGGCTAGCCAATGATGACTGGAGAATGAAGTTCGAGGAGGCAGCGGTGCATAACCTTCCAAAGGCCATGTCTGACCATTGCCCTATTCTTATTAGCACATCGGGATTCGCTCCAATCCCTTCAATTTTGAGACCATTTCGATTTCAGGCCGCGTGACTTAATCATTAGCATTTTCATGACTTTGTTCGAGCTAATTGGCTATGTTCTAAACCGGTTGTGCCTTTTCTGAAAGAGTTTGCTGAGAAATTAAATAATTGGAACAAAGAAAAGTTCTATAATATTTTTCGAAAGAAATTTGAGCTGTGGCCTCGTATAGAGGGTATTCAATCTGAGCTCTCGAAAGGAAGGCAGAGACACTTGGTTAAGTTGGAAGCTCGTTTGAGAAGAGAGATGGAGGAGGTTTTGAATGATGAGGAGATGCTTTGGTTCCAAAAGTCGCGCATGGATGCTATTTGCGATGGAGATAGGAACACAAGGTATTTCCATCTAGCTACAGTGATTCGTAGGAAGTGGAATCGTATTAATCTATAAAAAGATGAGCATGATGAATGGGTATCAGATAATTCAGTAGTCCAAACTTTAGTCCAGCAATTTTGGTGGAAGCTTTTTTAGGAAAAACGGGGTGGAAGTGCGCAGCAACAACAGCTACTCTGGAATTATCTCCCGAGTATTAGTGATTCAGATATGGAGAAAATTTCGAGACCTTTTGGTGAGTGCGAAGTTTATGCGGCTTTAAAATCCATGAAACCTTTTAAGGCTCCAGGGCCAGATGGTTTTCAGCCATTGTTTAATCAACACTTTTGGGATCTTGTACATCCAAGTGTGGTTAAATTGGTGCGTGATGTTCTTGAAAGGCGTGACTTCCCTGAAGGGTTGAATGATGCATTTTGGTTCTTATCCCGAAAGTTGAAGTGTCAGAAAAAGCTAATCAATTCCGACCAATTGGATTGTGCAACATATTGTATAAGTTGGTAACGAAGGTGATTGTGAATCGTTTGAAGCCTATCTTACCAACGTTGATATCACCAACGCAATGTAGTTTTGTCCCAAAAAGACAAATTACTGATAATGTCATCATAGTCCAAGAAATGCTTCATACAATGCGACATAAGCAAGGAAAAGTGGGGTATATGGCGGTGAAGATTGACTTTGAGAAGGCATATGATCGCCTTAGGTGGAGCTTTATTCGAGATTCTTTAATGGAGCTTCATCTTCCTCAGAATATGGTGGAGATAGTTATGAAGTGCATATATTTGGCTAAGTTGCAAATCTTGTGGAATGGGGAACCGTTGCAAGCTTTTAGCCCGACGAGAGGAATTCACCAAGGTGATCCGTTATCGCCATATATTTATGTGATTTGTATGGAGAGATTAGCTCACCTCATTGATAGAGAAGTTCGACTTGGTTGTTCGAAGCCGGTAAGGGCTAGTAGAAAAGGGCCACCGATTTCTAATTTGAAGTTTGCGGATGATTTGATCCTATTTTGTGAAGCCTCAGTAGAACAAGCAAAAATCATGCAACATTGTTTAAATTTATTTTGCGAGGCATCCAGTAGTAAAGTGAGCATCTCTAAATCGAAGGTGTATTTTTCTGGTAACACAAACCTTGATGTGAGAGATAGTATTTGTGCTTGTTTGGGAATGGAAGCTACGGAAGATTTCGGTAAATACTTGGGTGTGCCTACAATTAATGGAAGAACTTCTAAGAGAGAATACCATTAGTTGGTAGACTAGATTAATGGAAAACTTTTGGGGTGGAAAAGCAAAACCCTATCTTGGCAGGGAGAGCTACCCTAATGCAATCGACTTTGTGTTCGATTCCTTATTATACTATGCAGTCAACCAAACTTCCTCGCTCAACTTGTGATGAGCTAGACCGCAATTCAAGAAGTTTTCTTTGGGGTGAGCAAGAAGGGAAGAGGAAAGTGCACCTTGTGGCTTGATAAAAAATTACTAAGCCCAAGTGTGAGGGTGGATTGGGAGTTTGTTCAATGAGAGATGCTAACCGAGCTTTTTTGACTAAATTGGGATGGAGGCTGTTATCCGAACCATCTGTTAGGTTTTCAGCAATTCAATAAAAAAAAAATTACTTAAAGTTGGTGGAACAAAACCTAAACAGTGTATAATTTCAATCAAATTATACAACAATCAATACTAATCAAGTATTACAAACCAAACACCAAAATATCAATGTAATCAGAAATTACAAGGAATACACTAATATGAAAGATACTAAAACTTGCCTCTACTCCAAGCCAATGAAATCAACAAGAACATGAGAATACCAAGGACCACGTGAGTCTTCAATACCGGATACTTGTCTAAGGCGTGTAAACACTTTCCTAAAGTGATTATTTCCCCCACCACGGTACTTGGGTTGAAACTGGAAAGTCACTTTGAGATACAATAGACAACACTACAATCTTTGCACTAAGATTTGTAGCAAGATGATCAAATTCTCAAAGATTAACTTAATTGATAGAGTTTTCTATAGAGAAAATTGTGAAGAAAAGTGAAAACTTACAGAGGAAAAACAGAGAGAGCAAAAAACCAGAACCACCGTTATGCTTTTAATTTCGCAATTAAAAGAATAAACGAAACCGCAACTGCCAGGAGGAGCAGGCGCGGACAGGGAAATCGCAGATTTCACCCAACTTTCTGGAGATGCCTGGCCGCGCCCATAGCATGGCTTTCCGTGGCTTCCTAGCCGTGGCCTCTCCATTAAAGGAGAGGGCTCTATTCTACCACTCTCTAAATTCCTAACACCATCAGCCATGTGGTCAAGGGTTTTAAGAGCGAAATAATGTGACAAACGTTGCGTTTTAGACATGTTCAAGGACAAGGCTTGTGCTTCAAATACTTGGAGAGGCATTATGAGTAGTATCGATATTGTTCGCAAGGGGGTTAATATGGCAGTAGGAAATGGGGCTAAAACGCTCTTTTGTCATCATAGATGGGCTACCAAGAAACCTTTAATGCCCTATGTAAGTGAAGATATCCCTTTAGAAATTTAAGATTTAATAGTAAACGAGCTGTGGGATGTGAATTTGGGATGGAAATTTGATGAGTTTGCAGATTATCTTCCAGCTTCTGTTTTGAGTGAAATAGCTTCTCACGATTTGATCGAAGATGATGAAGCCGTAGATGAGGTCTATTGGAATAGGGAGCCTAGTGGTGGCTTTACAATTCGATCGGCCTTGGAAATAATGAAAGACAACGTTGCTACTCCCCTAGAAAGTGTGCGAGGCTGGAAAAATATATGGAGGACCCCAGTTCCTCAAAGGATAAGGTTCTTCTTATGTTCAGCCATTCAAGATCGTTTGATGACTAATGGTAATCGGTTTATAAGAACCCTAACTGATGATCTGAGATGCTTAGTGTGTGGTGAAGTTGAGGAGAATGCAGAGCATATTTTGAGAGGTTGTCTCGCGGCCAAGATAGTGTGGAAAAAGATGGGAGTGGATATGAGGAAAATTGTGAACAACATCCCCTTCAAGGATTGGATGCTGGGTCATATTGAAGAAGGAAATAATGATCTGGGATGCGAGTGGCCACGTGCTTTTGCCCTCATGTGTTGGTGGTTATGGCGTTGGAGGAATGAGAGAAGCTTCAATCGTGATCCTAATATCCCTATTGATCAGGTAGCTTTTATTTTTAATAGGATTGGGATCGTGAAACAAGCTATGTATAAGGATAGGACACTGCATGGTGTGGGGCACAAGGAAAGGAAAGAAGTGTATACTAGATGGGTGGCACTGAATATTGGTTGGGTTCGTTTTAAATACGGATAGGGCTACGAAGGGTAATCCTGGTCGTGCTGGAGCAGGTGGTATCATACGGGGTAGCAATGGAGAATTATTTGAAGTATTTGCAATGAATTGTGGAGTTTGTACTTGCACCAAAGCGAAGTTACTTGCAGTTCAAAGAGGATTGTCCATTGCGTGGAATGGAGGTCATAGGAAGATTGTTCTTTCGGTGGACTCAGAAGCTGTTGTGCGCATGCTTACATTCACATCATTCGTAAATGCAAGGCTCTCATATTTGGTAGAAGCTGGGAGATTGCTATTAACCATTGCTATAGAGAAGCTAATTGGGCTGCGGATTGGTTAACTAATCTTGGGGTGGGGTCGGAGCAAAAGTAGATTCTTCTTGAGGCGATCCCGAAGGATCTTTGTGACGTTTTATTGGAGGACTTGAGTGGTGTGACGTGGGCTAGAAAGGTGCCGCAAGATGTCGTCATTTGAAGGCTTGATACCATTCTAGCTCTTAGCTTTTAGTTTATTGCTTTTGTTTTCCTCTTAATGTGCTTGTTTTTCTTTTCGTTTTTTTTTTTTTTAGTTCTTTTGCTTAGTTTGTTCTTGGGGGTTTTCCCCTCTTTTGCATTAAAAAAAAAAAAAAAAAAATTTATGCTTAACCCATAATAAAAAAATGACTTGGAATTAAAACTATTTGACCCAACCTGACACTGGCCCGATCAACCGCTCTAACGGGTCTACTTAAAATAATTTTACAGCATCTAGTTCAATATGGGACGTGGAGAAAGAATGTCCGCAACTCCTGCCTCTCTTACGAACCACAAACAGAATTCCAAATGGTCATCTATCACCTTACTACCCCTTCCCCAAGTGAAGGAGAACGCAACAGGTATAACATTCCTGACACCAAAACATCCCAATATAATCTCAATAAATTTTACCAAATCATTTCATAAAAAACCCAATTCAAAACTTCCCAAAAATCCTTGAACAAAAATGGGTATGATATTAGGCAAGATCACAGTAGAAACCCCAAAACATGAAGTTTTACAATCAACAAACGAGTATGAAATACGCAAGTACCCATCATCAGTTATTGCCGAAGTAACATATGATCCAACCCAAATGAATGGTAACAAAGATGGTGGGTTCACCATTTTAGCCAATTACATTGGCGCTTTGGGCAATCCTCAGAACAACAAGGCTGAAAGTGTTGCTATGACAGCCCCAGTTGTAACACAATCAAAGGCCGAGGATGTCGGGGAGAAGATAGCTATGACAGCCCCAGTTGTAACAAAAGAACAAAGGGGTGGCGTAGCCGAAGGCGGGGAAAAGAAGATGATAACTATGCAGTTTATATTGCCTGATAAATATAAAAGAGTTGAAGATGCGCCGAAGCCGTTGGATGAGAGGGTGGTGATTAAGGAAGAAGGGGAGAGGAAGTATGGTGTGGTGAAGTTTAGTGGAGTTGCGAGTGATGGTGTGGTGAAGGATAAGGTGGAGGGGTTGAGGATTGCATTGGAGAAAGATGGGTATAAAGTGATTGGGGAGCATTTGTTAGCTAGATATAATCCTCCTTGGACTTTGCCATTTTGTAGGACTAATGAAGTTTTTATACCAGTTGAGTGAGTGAGATTAAATTAGTATAGGTTGTAATTTATGTTGTAATATTTCGTTTTTTGTGTTTTGTAAAACTATGGAGTATAAATCTTTTGGTTGTCTTTTTAATCAATTGTTATTTGCATAATTTAGCATATTCTTCTTGAAGTAATGAATGTATGCCATGCCACTACATGCATGGACAATACATTCAAATCATCACAAATCCGGCCCAAAATCAAATGAATAATTCATTATGTGAATAATAAGCTTATGGACAAGAAACTTTAGTACAAACTCAAATATTAACTTATTCATAAACAATAAGTTTTTTTTTTTTTTTTTTTTTCCAGCTATAAACAATAATTTAATGGACAATAGATTCAGATAATAATAAACCGACTTAATATTGAACGAATAATACACTACGTAAATATGATCTAGATGATTCATAATAAAGCTTTTTTTTAAAGACTATTTTAATATACTACCTCCGTTTTATTTTTTTTTGCAACTTTAAAATATTTTATATCTTATAAATAATACTCCAAAGTTGTAAAAAATATGAAATGGAGGTAGTATATAAGTGTCCATATCTTAATTTACCATAATTTTGAAATTTTGGTTAATTGAAACCATCTAATTAAGTAGTTTTATAATAAAAACAAAATAGCAAATTTGGGTCCATTTAGTATGAGTCTATTCAGCTTAGCTAAAAGACTTCCACAAAAACAAATTTGCTTTAGCCAAACTCTTCCTTATCTTCCTTATACACCTTACAAATTTTAACACACTGCTCAGCTTTGTCCTTTGAAAGCTCTAAACTGTTATGTTATTTCACAAAATAAAACAAACAAACTGAAAGAGAGAAAAAAAAAAAAGTATGGCTACCATGACTTCTTTACAATATTATGGGATGCCATCCCCCAACTTCCAGCAGAAAAGGCAGCATTTACCAAACAGTGTGCTCTACTGCATTACCAATTCAAAAGGCATGATCAAGCAGTCCTCGAGAAGCCGAAATGGGATGCAAAGGAGAGCTGTGAGTGTAGTCAGGTGTAGTAGTAGTGGAATTGGGATAGTAGATTTCATAGGAGGTGATCTTCTGAAGCCTGATATAGGAAAATGGTTATCAGATGTGGAGGAGCATAAGGCCCTTGCTATATACACCCCACATGAAGGTGGTTATGAGGGCCGGTACTTGAACCGCCTTACTCGTCTAGGCTATCATTTTCTCGATGTCTCAGCTCGTGGACTTGGAGATCCGGAATCCACCCTCACCAAGATTCACCCTGTCTGCCCTGTGAGTCTGAAAATCCTGCTCTGATCTATCAGCATTTTGTACTGTTCCATTGATCCACTCTGACAACTGTAGCTTGCATATTATGCGTCAGTAATGCGAATGACATGAACTCTTATGCAAAGAAAAAACTGCAGAGATGACTTACATTGCAGACAACTGTTACTCGGACGTGTACTAGTGTAGGACATTGGTATTTCATATATGTCTATTAGACTCAGATGTTTCATATAAAATATATGATGATGGAAAAACAAAAGTCTGATATTGCTTCAGAAATAAGTGTGAAGAAATATACGTAACATTATGTCGGAATATTGAGGATCTGACATAGATACTTGAGGTGAAATTATGAGTCTGAGTAACATAGGCTGACAAACCGCATTTATTAGCTTTCTAGCCTAAGTTACCCTCTTTCAACTAATTTGTTTTTTCTTTTGTTGGAATGGGTTGGTTTGACTTTCAGCCTCATGTTGGGAAGCAACCCATAGCAAGGTGGTGGTTTCCTCCGGAAGTTGATTATAGACTCGAGGCTCTTCCTTCTGATGCTAAGGGCCTTGTTGTCTGGGTCATTGAAGCCAAGGTAATTCAACTATTTTCTTCTTTCAGGAAGGGGACATCTTATTTGACAGTTATAACAGAAAGTCAGTGATACTGGATTCTGCATTATGTGATTCTGTCCAGGTTCTTTCTAAATCAGAGCTGCAATTTCTGGCACTGCTTCCATCTCTTCGACCCAAAGTCCGAGTTATAGCAGAGTGTGGCAATTGGTATGTTGTACAGTTTTTCGGGCTTCCATGCATATGACTTTAGTGCAATGTTTTTTTTCTTGGATTTGAAATTTTGTTGCGGACATTGATTATATTCATTTTGGTGTATGCAAATAGGAGAAAATTCATGTGGAAGCCGCTGAAGGAGATTGCAGGACTAGCCCCTCTACAGGAAGTGTGACAGGCGATACTGTAAGGAAATTACAGCTGATCTTGAGAACTCTTAAGAAATTAATAGTTTCTTACTTTCTTTCACTCTAATAGCAGTGTCAAAATGTTTGTGATTAATTGTACAGCATTGTAAAATGTATGGGATAACAGGTGAAAGTAAAAAGGCGACTGAAATAATGCTTTGTGTATACAGAACAGAATTAAGATCAGCTGGATATAAAAGTAACTCAAGTAGGACTGTAGAAGATTACAGAACACCACTCATAAATTTCGTAAAAAGAAAAAAAATAAAAAAAAATACTCCCTATAAATTTTTGATAGACTAAAGTAATGTAGTTGGTACGATGTCAATTATTGGTAAAATGGAAACATTAATTTTATAAAATCATATTTTCCCCATTTCTACTGTAAGAAAAGTCAGCCACCTGTGGTTCTGTACAAAGAGGGTTCAATGAGGTTTTGGACACTGTGTATTGAAGTCACCACTATAAACTAATCTATCAATCTGATTCTAATCATAAGCATGGAGTCACAGTAAATGAAAATTCCTGTTGAATGACTGTCTAAGAATAGAAAACCGCTGTATTTCCAGACTACTAATCATCTGGATAGTGTCCTGGAGGTACTAGATTGCTGACCATCTTGTCGTCGACCTTTATCTGATTTTTTTGATGATGATTGTCCTCCTTCTGATTTTAATTTATCGGGTAGCTGCTGATTCTGTGGCAAAGAAGCATCTGACTTTGAGCTAGAACCCTTATTATCACTATCCCTATTATCAGTCTTTTTGTTGCTGTCCCTGTTATCAACTTCTGTTGCAAAACCCTTTCCTGAACTATGTGATGATTGATGCACACGATCTTCATGGTTACCCAAGAAATTGCCCTCAGGACCTTGATTTTTGTCAGGAGTATTGACGGTATGGGTAGGTTCTGGAACTTTTCCTTTCCCAGGGCTTAGGATGGGTTGGGTTGATAATCCTCGGCATTTGTCAATGCTTTGGAGCTCAGTTGCAATTTGTGTGCGCCTTTCCTTCAAGAAGTTGAGCCGGGTTGTCAGTTTGGACAGTGCAGAGGTGGTAGAGCTGCTTCCCTGTTATGCACATGTAGATTTTCCTTTAGAAACTTCAATTTCAATTGTCAGCCACTCACTATAAAAGTTACTGGACTCTTAATTAGAACTGACATTTCACTTAAGGCCTATGTTTACTTGGATCTGATACTTGTGTCAGGCACAAGTATGTTGGCTCTTAACAAAATAAACATGTATTTTTTTCAAATTGAAGTATCAAGTGTCCAACACAGGTACTCGAGGAGAAATATAATATTAGAGTAACATATTATTAGGTTGAAGATGTCCGGAGGGTATTCTCTGTAGTACAAGGCCAAAACTAATTCACTTCGACATCCTTTTTTAAGGAATGAACTAATTCCTCAATAGGAAAGGTAATTTAGTAGATAATGGCCTTCAATTTTTACAAGTGAAGAAGAAGAAAGAAAAAATATATATTAGTAGCTCAAGTTATTGGCTGAAGATAAATGATAGTTTTAATGATGTCTTAGAATGAACTTTTCATAGATGAAAACCATCACATTATAAAGCCCCTTCTTCAAGCATGGAATGAAATCTTCTGATCTACTTCGAACATTAGAATTGAAAGAAAATATTTGCGGAGTTTTGCAATGGAGAATAGACCTACCTCGCCTTTTGAACTTGTCCTCTTTGTAGTGGAGGTATTAGATTTGGGGATTGGGGCTTCCATTGATGAAACACTATTTGGAAGCAATCCCAATTTGGAAATATCTCTTGATAAATCATTTGGTTGATTACTATTTGATGATTCAATTTTTCTACCATTATCACGATCAGTTCCGTCAAATTTACTATTCTGGCGTCCCTGAAAATTTAATCTTTAGCTTATCAACGAAATAATGGCAGAAAATAGATGAAAAACAGAATAATGTTAATATCACACTCAACCAAAAGGTAACTCAATCTGTATTCAATAAGCTTATCAAATAACTGATGATAAACAAGCATTCCACGTTGAATATAAATAGTCTGGCCAACTCCATTACCTTTGCTGATGCATTTTTCCGATCAATGTCATGCATGTAGCTCTGCTGTCCCTGAAAGACCTTACTTTAATAAGCTAATACTCTTAAAACAACTGATGGTATATAAACATCTCACAGACTAGAAGAGTAAAAGGCAAACGCTATGACATGCGTATAAGAATTAATCATCTGAATTCAGCTTCACAACAGAAGGTGTTCATGCAAATGTTGATATAGTAGAGGTCATATTAATACTAAATGACTAAAAGCCTCATGACTTATAGTACTTGCTTCCTTAATAGCAAGAGCACAAAAGAAAACTCATACAGCTAGAGTCAATGCTACCTCACCATATCTTTTTCAATTCTCATATCTGAAACAGAAATAATTAATAATCCTTCCACCTACAATGACCTTCTGATTTGTCCCATTCAATTGTCCCTTTTCTTTAAAAGATGTACACTGATCTGAGCATTGTCCTATGTTCCTAATATGCTAAAAAAAAACTACTAATTAAATCTTATTTGGTCATTACACTCCGCATTTGTAAAAAACAAATAGAACATGGAAATATGCAATGTGGTATGGAGTCACTAGAGTCCCATCCCCCTAAATATATTTACGATAAACCAAAACAAACAAATCCTGTAATAAAACCCATTGACAACTAAAAAAAGAGAGCTTAGAAACAACTCCATTCCAATTGAAAACCTCTCTAGATACTCATTCCGTGCATTTCAAAGGGATAGACCAAACTCAATCAAAACTATGCATAATTATGTCCCAACTCTTCAGCTGCTTACTGCTGCTAGCCACTTAACAGGTTTAATCTCAAATTTACTGATGCTGAATGGTGACGTACACTTACCTCAATTTTACTTGGTATTTTGACATGATGTAACTCGTCTTTCATTTCATTGTCCTTGTTATATATCCTGCAATGTCAAAAAATAAAAGTTACTGGGTATTGCCCATAGGATTGGCAAATCGATCGTCTTTGTGTAACTGAAACTGTTACTTGATATCCGACACAAGTCAGCTAGTAAAGCACTATGTTTCAAATTATACTTTCACAGAAAGCTACAAAATGATGAGGATAAGGATGGAATAAGTGTTCTTACAACATATTCCCTTTATTTAAACAGTCTTGTACTTTATTATTACTATCCTGCAAAAGGGATGCAGTCTGCTCATGTTGATGAATAAGCTCTGCGTCAATATCATCAAGCCTCTGCTTCAAGTTACTAAAATTTTCCTCGGCTATAGAAATTTTCTGAAGCTCAACCTTTGTCTTGAACAGATAATGTTGAAAGAATCACAGAGCAAAAAAGAGGACATCAAGATACTGGTTGGATGAGTTGCATCATAGATATTTAATCATCAACTTACCTTTTCATTGATAGAGACAGGCAATTGGGAGATATCAAACACAGATCCGGCTTCCAATGCTGCTCTTAATTCTCTTTCCTTTTGTAGCTGTTCTTGCAACCTAGCCACCTGTGTGCACCATCAATTCAAGCAGCTTTATGCCTTTACCAAAACCATATGACCAATTTTGTTGAATTCATGGTCAGTTACATGGGCCGGGCCTCCTATTTCAGGAAGTAGCCAGCCCATCACAACAGCCCAAGCACCCTGGGGGTGAGGTGGAAGATATGGGAATCCCTCCCCAAAGGTGGCTCTAGTGTGATTAATCCCATGACCTCAATGTCGAATGTTAAAAATGCTAAACTGTAAAACATACATCCTTCTCAAGAGCTAAGCGACGTTCATTTAGGGCTTTTTTACGTCTCTCCAAACTTGCTTGTAGAATTGCGTTATTGTTAGCCTATAACAAGGTGTGAAGTACATGTATAAATACAATCAAATAAAATGACTGGATAATAACAAGAAATAAAATGCCAAAACAAGGAAGAGCTTGTACCTCTTCTTCAATTCTATTTTCGAGTTCAAGCTTTGTCGCCTCAAGTCGTTGGATTTCATTTCTGTAAATGAACAAACAAACAAACAAAAAAAAAAAGTTCAGGTACATGATCACTTTACAATGAAGGCAAGGCCAAATCAAGATCAATGTAATGGAAAACTGTCAGGGACTTTTTATCACCTTTCACATGCAATATTACACCTTAGTAGCCGAAGTGATTCTTTTTAACTAATTATTTTTTCTATCCAGCCAGGTAACACCATCAAAACTTACTATAGATGTATTGAAAGAAAAAACACTATCTAAACGGAAGGATACTAATCATATTAGACCTTAAATAATAAAGCTCAATATCAGGTATATCTGAACTTGTTCTTTTCATCTTATTTCAGAGACTTAATACTTAATTTTGCCAGAATCAGTCTGGATCCGACCACATCAATCCCAACAAATAAAAATAAAAAATAAAAAACTAAATATCACAAAATAACTTTGATTGCGTATTAATACAAATTATAAAAAACAAAAAAAAAAAAATCAAATATTTGGAAAATACACATTGAGACGAATATAACAATTTCTCAATAAATAATGTTTATTCTGCATGCGAATTAAAGTGCGGTCAAAGCTTGGTCATATCAGGGCATCTTATTAAACCAGACCTGATCTAGGTAAAACCATACTAGAATACTTTATTTCAAGTGAAGAAAACAAGTTCTAAATGTTTGCGCGTTGTAAATACAAATTTTAAATTTTATGTGCCTACACGCACATCTTATATTCTACACTTTGTAGGCTACATTTCAAAGAAATCCGCAAAATTCTATCTTCAAACACTGGTAACAAGTTTAAATAAAAGACTAGGCAAATTAAATAAACACCCAGAATAGGTCACAGCTCTGAATCATGGGATTTTAATGACTTTGCCCCTAACAAGCAATGCTATTTCTCAAAGACCCACCAGGAGCGGAGTGAGATAATAAAGGGGTAGAATCAAATAATGGTCAACAAAAGTAGATGAACAATTTGAAAAGTAAGTAAATAAATATGACATGCATACTAGACAGTGATTATGATGATAATTTGATAGCAATAATAACACCTAATACAGTTATACATATCAGTACCCATGACAAAAAACAAAGAATAGCGATCATCACAAACCGTACACCAGATAGAATATCCAAATATGAATACTCTTACACCTAATGCCGAAATTTCAGTACTCTAAACTCTAGAACCATAACCAATTTTTTTTCTTAAAAACTAGAGAGGCATATTCAGAGCAACCACTAGCAAAAATTGATGCACAACAAGAATATAATTTGAGTAGATTGCAAAACTATCATGTACATAGATAGAAATCAGGACACTAAGATCAAGTACAGGAATAAAATCTTTAGTCAGAAATAAAAACATAATTACGTAATCATGCAGAACGGCCAAAGAAAAACTTACTCATCTTCAAGTGAGAAATCTATTGATTCCATGGAAAGATTCTTTTTTGCCTAGAACAGACAGAAAATTGTTGTTGTTAGTACAGTTTGAGGATTCAATAAGAGACTATTATAAAAGAAGAAAACCTATTGAACCGAATACTTATAAGTCCATATCCAAGTAAGCAAACGAGAAAAATCAACCATAAGAGAGGTAACAAACTTACCGATGTTCTTCCCCACCTATGCCGTCTGAATTGTGAGGACCCAAGGACCTTAGTTGCTGACATTTTGCTGCCTCTTTGTGGACTTAAACTATCAGGCTCTTTTATGGAACTTGTCTCTGCTGGAATATCTCGATGCATTTTAGTAGAGTCAGCAATAGCCACTGATGTATCATTATTTCTTTTTGTGTTTTTGTCAACTATCTGGAGATTATCTTGCTGAGATTCTGGAGTACGAGGTGAAGCTGATGATGATCTCTGGCTTGCTAGAAAATCATGAACTTGTTCAGGAGACCTTGAATATGAACTGGACCTTTCACTATGCTGCAGTTTAGAGAGTGCGTGATGTAAGCAATTTGCAGGAGGAAGAGAAGTAACTGAGAATATGTCCTTAATATAAGAAAATGAGATGTAACTGCAAATGAGTCTGAGACAGATTGGAAAATAAAATTTGTTCACAATAAACAAATTTATTTTAATTTTCTTTTCCAATTGCAATCATATTATACCATTGTTTCAGACCCCAGACCTCTTATTGAAGTTCCTCCCTATGGCATAATATGTGGATAGTGGACATATGGAGTCTTAACACTGCAATGTAGTATCAGAAGGTTGTTTCTGTAGCAGATTCTACGGAATAGGTAGAATGCCTGAAGTGAGACTTAAAAGCGTAATATCTTATTGTGAAGTAGCAGATGGTGGTATGGTTTGAAAACAAGGGTCAACTAGAAACAGCCTTTCTGTTATCGCAAGGTTAAAGTTATACATGTTCAGCACCCCAACCCCCTTGCCTAGGGCGGGAGGCTCATTAAGTGTGTGGGATTATGTAGATGTTAAAAATTTAGAGCTGAATAAATGGCGCCAGTAGATATTCCAATTTTATAGAACATGTGACTGATTTAGGATCAAGTATGTAATAATAAATAACATAGTAGCCAAGAATTATATGCATATAATTACTAAAGTCTAATAATGTACTAGCCTTATCATCGCAAGAATCACTCTCTCCATGGTCACCACTGCCACTACACGTCTCACATGCTGAATGCTCATAATCATCATCTGTTTCATCATGATCTGATGCATCCTCATGATCATCATCTTCAATATAATCATCATCATCTTCATACATTTCATCATCACTGGCCTCCTCTGTCCCGCTTCCACTCTCATCTGAGTCAGAGAACAAACCACTGTCCGACATCGAACCTTCCTGAATAGAATTTTAATGGCCATGAAGTGCAAACCAAGACAAAATGTATAAGCTAAATCCTTAATGTAGATACTTCAACAATATGTATGGGAACAGGCATATGACTAGATATGACCTTCAAATGCAGGAACAACAGAGTTACGACACATCAAGGAAAGTGATCCTAAAAAAACCTAATTCTTCTACACAATGCAAAGGAAAACAAGGAAAAGGTAATTTTGGACAGAATCGCTGATTCATCCTCAAAGCAAAAGTTAAAGAGGGAACTTGAAGTTTACCCCAAAAATTTTGTCGTATTCATCTAGTAGAGTAATAATGATAGCTTGAGCATGGTTTGCTGCTGCTGCTGCTTGAAGAAGTTGGAAAGAACCATCTCCAGCCACATCCATTTGTGTATCTCCAAGTTCACAATCACCAGCAAGAAGAGGTCGCAGAAGCAAAGGAGACATGCAAGCAGCCACTGCTGATGTGCTCATCCGATTTACTGCCTTGTTGGAAGCCACTGTTAGCATCATCATGAGTATCCTGGAGATACAAACAAAGGGACTAAGGAATGTAGACATGTGATTATATAGAAAAAGACAATACATTATATAACTGCGGCGAACTATCATCTAATGCACCGCACATATGCTCCTTTGATGATTGGCGGCTGCAGAAATCTGTACCTTAAGAGGATTATGCATTTGGTTAAAAAAACTCACGTGAATGAAGTAAAATTATCTATACCACATACCTCTGCAGTAATTGTCGGTTAGGCTCCGGAAATGTTTCAAGTATTGCCATGCGCATAGCATTAAGCCTGTTGTTTCGTTCACTTCCTACAAATGATAGTTCATTTGTTAAATAACAACAGTCAATTAACATTTACTTGGACATTATTCTGTCTAAAATTATCTAAAGCATCAGAATCAAATAGAAGAAATGTGGGCATGTCAAATGCTCTGGAAAATTTTACAATGGCCCAAGCCTCATGGTTGTGATTTATTTAAGACAATAACATAATTGTGCCAACAACAACAAAATATTTATTTCAGAAACAGAGATTACTATGGCAACTTACGAAATGCTTCTAACAGTGCATTACAACAAGATGCTGGAACTGGAGAAGATGGTAATTCCCTTAAGATGTACTGAAGATTGCACCAAAAGATAGCAAATCAGAAAATGATGTGAGAATGTTACTGCAGCAAACTTAAAATTAGTAGCATAGATGATCAGAAGATATACCTTAATACAGTCGCCAATGACATGAGCATCCTCGCTGGGGGAGAACTCAGTTTTACCTGTGTGCATATTGAATTAAACAATAATAAGCCAACAAATTAAGGATGCAGTGCTATTTGTCAAAATGAGTGTAATATAAGTATCTTAGTACACAAATTAGTAATAACAACCCTGGGTCATGTTATGTTGCCTTTGTCTAGACAAATTGTTCAAAGTAACTATAGGTTAAGAAAGTAGGACCGATAAATATATGTGAAATAATACACAACACTCTTTGGTGCAAGCATTTTTATAAAAAATAATAGCAAAACCCTATGCCTAGTTTCATAATTGATTTTTCTGAGATACCCAACAGTCAGTATAAAAACCATCCTTCACACACCTTTGACTATTTGTGTAAGGTCTTCATTGTTTAGGACCATCAATAAAAAAAAAAAATGATGTACATAATTTTTCAGTTTGGTGAAGAAAACCACATTAGTTAGCTAATAGACTAACAAATTTTTTAAGGGTTATGTCCCTTTATATATCCTCGATCATCAGCAAACCAAAAAGAATGAGGCTGAATGACCTGAGTTTATTCTAATGTTGAATTAAGGGGAAAACTGTGTAGTGTATAAATTAAGACTCGTCCACATCTAGGGCTCTTCTTTCAAAGAATGATATTTATTTTCTAAATGGACAGAGCATGGTTATATAAACCTTGTTCATATTCTCGAACACGGCGATAAACTTCATCTACATCTGCAGCTTGCCGCAAAACTCCTTCAACATTGACTCCTGCACCATCAATCAAAATTTAAGCAAGAGAAAAACACATTACATAAAGTAAGGCAGTAACTGTTCAACTAGACAGAACAGAACAAAAGCTGAGCAAATCGATTTGCTTAAGTATAGGTGTATAGCTACATAATATGCTTGTATCAATCAACACAAAAGGCAGAGGCAGCTAGACAGAACAAAAGAGAACTTTTACTCAAGAATACTCAAAATTGCTGCCTTTCTCAATCCAACCAGTCAGAATCATCAGAAATGAATTTAAAAGAAATGAAACGACAAGAGGAAAAATATTAATATTCGCATGAGCAAAATTCCAGAACTAGTACGTAGCTTATCCTTAAGGAGGAAGTTCCAAAAAAAAAAAGCATGCCTTTCAGATAAGTGGCTCTGTGTGCAAAGAACAGAGGTGTGTCATGAGAGTTACAATTTAATGATGCTAATACATGTACTATCAACACTTCAAAAATATCCCAAGCTTGAGAGAAGCTGTTAAATGAAATAAAATTCTACCAGGATAATAATTTACAATACTATTACACAGGTAGATCATTTCAATCTATGAGTTTTGAGAGGCATCACAAGAAAAAAGGATTCTACCATGATCTTCAATGAATCTGAGGGCTTTCTCCAAGAAAGAAGGTGATCCATCTATATCTTCCAAAGCGAGTAAAATCGGCCTACCAATTACCATAGATTTTCCAGGTGGCCCATCAGTATCTGTAACAGAAATATAATATTACCCCCACGCTTCTCTTTATTAAAGAAGTACCAAAAAAAAAAGTACAAAAATATGAGAGCATGTTCATAAGCTAACATTAAGCAGCACAGAAACTTATACAACCGCAGCCAAGGGCAAATTTAATTGACATATCAACTTGACAATAGCAAATGTTAAACGATGACAAAAAAAATCTTTTGATTATCTAGATCAAACGGACAAAGTTTTTTCCAACTTGAATGCCACTAAAAAGAGCTTCATAGCTAGGTCTTAATATAGCTTCTAAATATTCATGACCAAATAATACTTCTTTTAGATATAACACTATCAACGATAATCGGACAAGAATTTCAGTCAAAATTGTTAATTGAGGTGTTGCATAAGCAAGCAAGAAAAGCAACCCCCTTCACTATCAAGGAGTATCAACCTAAAAGCCATGAATACTTAAATCCCAAAGTAGTTTAGCTGTTTAAAATGGGAGCTAATACATTGAAATATTCTTGTAATAGTTCGCTGGCGTAAATCTGAGTACAAAGGCTAAAACATAACCATATAGCACACTCTTGATTTTTAAGATTCGTTAATGAAGTCAGCAAGAATTTTAATCTGAAAGCTCAAGTCTCAGCTATAAGAAGTGATGGCTCAAAGTAAAGAATAAGCCAAGTAAAACCAAAAGTGTAGCAGACAAGCCAAATATGACAACAAAACAAGAGCATACGTTGATCAGCAGCACCATTAACATCATCAACTTGCTCACTTTTTAAAATCCCATTTTGTCCTGCACTGTGGGCTGCATTTGGTGCCAGTGCCAAAGCATTCTCAAGTGCTGTCTTCCACTCCTGTAAATCCTCCAAAGTTTCTGCCTGCAGCAATAGGCACAAGATTGTCTAACATCAGCACAAGTCAACCTACTTTTCTTCATTACTTCACTGTAGGGGTAAAAGGAAACAAAAAACTATACTTTGTATTAATCTATACAACTATATTTTGACTTAAATGGGCAACTTCTCAAAATTCATTTGAACCACAAAAATGCTATAAGGTCAGCAAAGGAAATAAATTTGCACTCAACCTTCTCTTCTACTACTCAGATTATTTTGCTTCAATTTCTGAAGTTCTTAACCCATTTCCTGAAAGGGTACCATGAATTATCTAATTACTTCGTTAAAGCCTCTGGTCCATAACATATTTCTAAGCCACATTTCAAAGGCTCTTTACCTTGTACTTAAAGCAGAACTACTGACTTCTTACCCTTGCAAATTTCAAAATATCAGCCTTCTTAAGAAAGGAAAGCTTCTCACCAAAAAAAAAAAGGAAAGCTTTGATGACAAGTTGAATTGAAATTGTAATAATTTCTTAAGCTCCATCTTTGGGAAGGAGGATCCTTCACATACGAGTCTATATCAACAATTACGAATGACTTATGTCTCTGCAGATCCTCTAGCACATAATTTTAATTTTTGATATAAAGGCCATATACAAAAATGTCAATTAATCACAGGATTTTATATAAGTTGACCAACTATATTCATCGACTCATGAACAAGTTCATCAGCAATCTGGTGATGAATTAGAGAACAAAATATTTTTAAAAAATAAAATTAAAAAAAAATTTGCAGGAATGACACGTGGATAGCTGTGAAGAAAAAGAAACAGGTAAACAAATTATTTTCAGTAAAACAGAAAGTTATATACCTTAAGTGTAAAAGCTCGGCCATCCCGACCATCAGGGAAGAACACGGTCAATAGCTTCTTATCTGTTTTGATTTCCACACTAACAAAACAAAAAATAAAATAAATAGATCAGGAATTTGTCTTCGTTTGACAGCATAAGTTACATAAAAATAGTAATATCACATTATCACCCAACATAGATCCCAAATTCCCAGCACTGGTAAGGCCTTGTAAGGTCAATGCTTATGATACATGAAGCATTAACCACAGCCAGTGGAAAATGGTAAGGGGGTGTTATCATAACCCAAGAATTCAATGAACTATCAAGTATTACAATAATTTAAAGTAATAAAGAAACAATAAAAATCAAAACACACTAACCTGGCGGAGTTGTTTAGGTCTATACCACCAAGGGTTAGATTCACCTCACCGCCCTTTTGGGGTGTTGCACTCTGAAAAAGTGGAAATAAATAAATAAATATAATTAAGGTTTTCTGTCATTCACACAAACGGAGACAGTATTGCAGATACTGAAATACAGTGGTTGGCATTCATGAAAAACTGAAAGTTGGAATATAATAGGCTTTTGAAATTTGTTAGCTAGTAAGTAAATTCTCAAAAAATACAGTCTCTGTCTCATATTAGATGTTTGACTTCAGAACTAAATTTTAGGAAGATTTTTAACCCAAAAAATATATTTATATATAAAAATATTAAAAATAATGATGTGCAAATGTAGTACTAGAATAGATAGCTGTTGTTTAATGACACCTCAAGCGGACCTTTTACATAATTTTGGGGCAACAAGAAAGCTCGGCATATACCTATTAAGATAATCCTACAATATGATCCCTAATGTTCCACTTCAGACATGTCATTCATATGTGACAGTCAATTTTCTGGTTCCTCGTTTACAACATTAACTTTTGTATAAATTAAGTCTATCAATTTAAAGATACTTGACCCATGCAACTTGAATGTAACACTAGAAATCATCTGCAGAACATAAAGACTAGCAATATTCAATTTTTTCCATGGAAATAATCTTGGGATCCATTTCAACTGCTGTATGAAAGAAAAAGACCACATGTTTTCACAAACAGTTTTGTACATTGTTAATAAAAATGAAATTGTTCTCTTGCTCTCTCTGTCCTCCTCAATCAATTCTCACCATTCAACATGCATTAAAAAAATTTCATTAGAGGGGACAAAGAGCTTACAGGATCACTTCGAAAAAAAACTAGAGATGTGCGCGTCAAAATGAACCATCTCTTCTTCCAAGAAGTCCATCCAATTCCTGAATGAAAGAAGAAGAAACATTAGTCACAATATATATTCACTTTGACAGTTAAAACTTAGAACATATGCAGCGCTATATAAGAACTTTGTATAAGTTAGCTTTTGTCACTATACTCCATATTTCTCAAGCAAACGACAATGTGAGTTTAAGACAACCTTGTACTACAAGAAACTGAAACACACCACACCAGATCTTAGTGAATAAACACCCAAAAACAGTAAAAGCCTCACCTTTGGATGATATATAGAGAGGCCCACTCTTGAACACCTGCAAGAATCACAAGATTATATAAATTAAGGCGTACATTCTTCCATGATAAAACAGCAAGCATCTCATTCATCCCCTCTTATCTCAAGAAAATCAAAACTACTTCATTTACAATAAATGAACAAACAAACCATAGATCACATGAACAATATATTAAATGTAGCATTTTCATTCTAAAGCAAATTATACAATTATCAATATGTACTCTGCATTTACGAGCCAATTCAATATGTATGAACAATATACCAAATGTAAAGTTATAATAAGGGAACAATGGAACAGCAACAATATACCAAATGTAAAGTTATAATAAGGGAACAATGGAACAGCCTTACATAGTAAACAAATACACAAGAATAGTCTCACAACTACCTGATTCCGGGACCGTGATGTCTGAAGCTCCGGTGTCCCGGCCTGAGGAGAAGTATCAGTTACATTCTCTCCTTGTGACGGTACCTAAAATCACCACAATGTCATGACACTATTACATTAATAAACTTGACATTTGAACTTGATCATACAAATATTGTAATAAACCCCATTTATAAATTCTCAAAATCAAGGGTATTCAATATTCACAATTTTCTTTTTATAAATTATCACTACATTGATTAAATTATAAATTAATAAACTTTCAAATTAAAAAAAAAAAAAAAAAATTGCGCATTTCAATATTAAAAAAAATTATAATAATAATTACGAGTACCTGGGAAGAACAATCGCCTGATTTGCTCGTCATCGATTGCTCCTTCATCAAAACATCCTATTTAAAATCACAAAATATTGAAATAATTTCAACAATTAACAGTCCCACAAAATTCATAACACCAAAATAAAATTTAAAAAAATAAATAAATAAATTCAAAACATTTTATTCTTCGAGGAAAATCTAAAAAAAAACTTACAAATTCTACAATGTAGGTTACCTTCGAAATTCCATAATTCAAGAATACTATCAAAAATTAAAAGGAATGAAATTTTAGGGAAAAAATAAAATTGGGTTAAAATTAATTTTCAGGGAAAAAAAAGAGAGAGAAGCAGAAAGAGGAAAAAAAATGGAAGCTTAATTTGGATTTTGGTTTTCAACGGAAACCCCGTTGGTGACCCAATTTGAGCGGGCCCGGGTAATACGGCAGTTATACACTTGGCAAGCGTAGGTGTTCTTATGCTTATAGAACGTGGGAGTCACTAATGGCATTTTTTTTTTAGTTTCTATATTTATACAACCCACTTTAATAATAATAATGATGATAATGATAATGATAATGATAAAATATATCATAATAGGTCAGGATCTAGTGAGAATACCCTTTATGTGAGAATCAATCCCTTATGTGAGGAAAAATCTCAGCCATTAGATTGTATTAAATCCATCAGCTAAGATTAATGTAATTTGCAACATAACAAAATCCACCCAAACCCAACATCACACATAACCTCTTTCTCTCTTCAGAAAAAATTACCCAGCTTATTTCTCTTTCTCCAAAGTTGAAGGAGAAACATTATCAATGGTTTGAAGCTTCAAGGATCGATCATTTCTCTCTCCTCTTGTTCACTTACACATAATTTTGGTAAGTAATTTTCGAATATCACGCCCTTAATTTTGGTTTTTCATTATAATTTTTGAATTGAATTATCTCAATTTAGTATTTTCATCAAAATTTTCGAATTTGATGTTCTAATTATCAAATTTTGGTGTTCTATGCTCTTATTTGGTTATTTGAGTTTGACATTATGATTTTTGCTAGATTTTTTGAGTTGAGTGCTCTTAATTTAGGATTTTCATTATAAATTTCCTATTGCATGTTACTTTTACGTTAATTAAAGCTAATTTTCGTGAAATTTTCTATTGAATATTCTTAATTTGTAAAATTTTTATTAATTTTTGAGTTGATTAATTTTTGTTATGAATTCTGTACTTGTGTTGCAATTAAAACTTGGTTTAAAATGGGTTATTGGTGCATTTTTATGATACTTATGAATATCCTGATAGTGTATACAAGGTGTTTGATAAAATGCTTGTTAGAAATCTTGTGAATTGGTACTGTATTATCAATGAGTTTGTTTTGAATGAGTTCGTAGGTAATACTTCGGATACTTTTGATGCGTAAAATGAACTGCCCTTTGTTATGAATCCTTTTACCCTTTATTTTGTACTTATTTGATAAATTCAATAGAAGATAATTAAAATGAGCAAACATAATTAAAATGAGCAAACTAAATATGAAAAGTAATATAGTGAAAATAAAATGAGCAAACAAAAATAAAATGAGCAAAAAGAATTAAAATGAGCAACAATTATTTGCTCATTTATCAAATGAGCGACAATTATTTGCTCATTTATCAAATGAGCAAACAATTCTTTGCTAATTTATCAAATGAGCAAACAGTTCTTTGCTCATTTATCAAATGAGCAACTAATTCTTCGCTCATTAATCAAATAAGCAACAATTCATCGCTCATTTATCTAATGAGCAACAAGCTGGATTAAGGGATGTCATGATTGACCAAATTAGTGGCTGGATCTCCATCATCTCTAAGACAACTTATAATTAATGATTGTGGGAGACTAAGAGACATAACGTGTGCATTACAGCGTCTCTCTTCACTTGAGGATTTGAAGCTTTGTCACTGTGAAAAAGTGGATTTGTGGGATGTCAAGAATGATGATGATGAAGATGAGGCTATTAGTGGCAGGTCGTCTGCTTTGCAAAGCCTGAAGTGCCTTAGCTCCTTGAGCTTGTATTCAATCTCAAAACTGAAATCTCTTCCTAGGAGCATATGCTATGTCACAAGTCTTCAAGAAACTTACATTGATGAGCTCTTTGAATTAAGGGGCCTACTAGAATGGTTTGGAAATGTAACCCAGCTAGGATATATTCCATTTTCAGGTGTACATTAAGGTTTTCCTTAATAATTAGTTGTAATTTTGTAATTTACATGTTATGGGGCTTGGGGAGTTATTTGATAGAGGTTTGGACAAAAGTTGATAAAATGTTACTGCAAATTACAATTATTATTTATGTTTGTGTTGGTGTGTGTAATGTTGCGGCTTGGGGGACTATAATGTTGGTGTTGACTGTTGAGTATGATTGGCTTCAAAGAGTAATTTAATTTGACATTTGGAAGAGAATTCTATAATGCTTCATCTCAATGTGGGTGAATTTGACTTTTCAAGGCTTTGCTGAAGTTGCTATGTTTTTTTTGAAGTGTTGCATGGTAGCAAATGGGTTATTTTTCATGAATTTTGATCATATGATAAACCTATTAGCTCAATTGGTAGAGCACTATGCGAATGCATAGGCGATGCAGGTTCAATTCCTACACAGGTTATCTCTATAAACAAAATTATTTTTTTTTAAAAAAAAAAAAAAAAAAATCAAATTCGTACTAAATTATATGACCAAAAAAATGGTTTGAAATGATTTATAACTATATAAACTTTGTTACAATTAAACGCTCATACAAACTTGTTTCTCCACATTACATAAATGAACCTACGTGGGATTCGAACCCACATCTTTTGTGCATTTGCACAATGCTCTACCCTTGAGCTAGTAGGCTAATGTATTTAAGACATTCAAACACACTCACAAATGAGCATTAATTTGACAAATGAGCAAGAATCATTTGCTCATTTGAAAAATAAGCGTTAATAGGTTGCTCATTTGACAAAGGAGCATTGAATTTTTTTGCTTATTTGACAAATTAATGCTCTGATGAAGCTAGATAGGCTTTGATGATCAAAATTGTTTAGTTTGTGCTGATGCAAATGAGACTCGATCTTAGGCAGTTGAACAAATGAGCAAAACAGTATTTTCTCATTTGATAAATGAGCAAAAAATTATTTGCACATTTGTCAAATGAGCAAATAGTTAGTTGCTCATTTGTCAAATGAGAAAACATTTCTTTAATCATTCATTAAATCAACAAGTATTTCTTTGCTCATTTGTGAAATGAGCAATCAATTATTTGCTCATTTGACAAATGAACAAATATTTCTTTTACTCATTTATGAAGATGTTACATGTTCTGTGTCTGCAGCACTCGTACAAATGAAAGATCAATTTCCTATTTCTTCTCTGAAATATTGATCAACAACTTCAAAAAGCAAAAGCAACTCAACCTATCAGATGACTCAAAGCACGTTTCTCCCAAATACAAACCTCCTGAGTTACCTCTACTCGACACCTCAAAAGCTCCTATGAAGCCAAGGGAGCCCTTCAAATCCTCCATAGTCTTTGCATCCATCATGGTTTCGCATAAGAAGAGTAGCCTAGGGCTATATTTTCTGCTCCACTTACAGAGCTCACGAACAGACCAGAGAGGCAAGCATGCATTTAGAGTGGTGGTTGCTACTTTAGCATTAAACTGGGAACCTTGTGAGAAAGCAAAATCCAAGCTCCTCATTTCACACATCATGTTGCACAACACCTCAAGACCCCAAACCCAGAAAAATGATTTATTTAAGAGCAAGTAATTTACAGAAAATGGATGACATACAGATATCTGCATACAGAAAATGTCAACAAGTCCAAAAAATGGCAATTAGAATTGGAGCGAACACCTTAAGTGAGCTAGAGCCTAGAGAGTAGAGATCACTTTAGTAAAACAACCTCGGAGAGATAGGTCATAATCCAAGATGATTATGGGTATCAAGTGATATGAAAGCAATTATCTTGGAGGTCAGTGACGGGCGTTAGAACGGTCGCACATTCCACACTCAATCAAATAAATTTATAAATCCTAAAACTAACCCCTAAACAAGTCTAGTGGTAAGTTCGGAGTCGAACCACAAGGAACGGTAATGCTAGATTGTTCTTAATCTAATGCCTAAGCTATGCCGAAGTCGATTTACGGATAAAGGACACTACAACTACACTAAAACACATATAAAGAACAAGGTATGATAAAGTCTACTAGGGGAAAAGATCCACTTAGAACAATTAATAAGCTAATGAGAATCCATTTGATAATCAATCATGCAAAGAAAGAATTATAATGAGAATTAACTACACTCAAAAGTAATCTCTCAAATTCCTAGCCTAGATCCCTCATTGACTAGGTGCATAGAAGAAAATTACCCAAAATGCAATCAAATATATCAATTCTAATTCACAATCCCTTGTCAAACTAAAACCAATATGCAATTAAGTGTGCTATCATGGGAGATCAATCCAATCTAAAACAAACAACATGCCAACATCAATTCAATCAATTTAATCACACAATTATCATCAAATTTATCTCAAATAACTCAAATAATCATTACAAAGCCTCACTCAACACCTAGTAGAAGGGAAACTACTCAAGCATAATGAAAGCAACTAAATAAAGCAATAAGAGAAGAGAAAGTAAGAAATGCTCATTGATATAAGATGGAGATCTTCAAATTCCTCATTTGATTATCCAAAATCCATGAAAACCATTGTGCTCCTCACTTTCTCTCTCTAAAATTTTGAGAGTTTCTCTCTCTAAAACCTAAAACTAACCTAAAATCTATTCTAAAACTGAAAAAATCTTTTTCTTTAATGAGCAAAAAAATCTATTTATACCCCTTACAAAATTGCTTAGGAAGCTCCGCAAAAAGTCAGCTGAAACGGGAAAAGGTCCGACCGAACTCTGTGTAGGTTCGGTCGGACTCAAGGTAGGTTCGGCCAAACTCAGGGTAGGTTCGGTCGAACCTCCCTGATCCTTGTTTGGTCGAACTTTCCTGGTTAGACCCCTCCTGTAAACATGCTGAAAACTTGGTTGAAACTGCCTTGGAGGTTCGGTCGAACTTTTCAAAAGTTTGACCACACCTTGGTTCGACCGAACCTCTTAGAGGTTCGGCCACACCTCCTCTT